TTTCAAACATCAAAGCTTAACTCAATCTGTTCTCAGTATTCTCCAGCACCCGCTGCATCTGGTTAACTTTGATTACCTGTTACTATTTCAGTATTTAACTTCTTAACTACTCTGATAACAGAGGCAGTATTGCAATTCTATAGTTACTTTTTAATATTTTTTTCTGACTATTGGATTAATAAGGTTTGTTCAAATATAGTTCTTTTCTTGTTTCCTGATTTATTGCATTTTGCTATGTAATCACATTGAGAGACATCTATATTATTCTGTAGCTCGCTTGATAACGATTTAACACTTGAAGTTCACAGCATGGTTTCAAGTCCTGTCTGGGTTCATGATGATTTAGATGAGGCAGAAACTGAGGTCCATTCTTTGATACAGTATATTTTGGGAAATTAAGATAAAGGAACTCTAGTATCTTTGATTCATCGCTGATAGCCGGTGGCTCGAGTTTTCTGGATTCTCACCCTAACTTTTTGTAGTACTCGCCATTACTCCATACGAAGGGCATGAAAAATCGCTCGCATTATATTTAAATAATAGTTTATTTCGCAAGTGTGTTTAGACTCCCAATCATTTAATTGCTATTAATTTCTACTTCCAGTTCTTTCAGGAATGTTTAATTTATGGTCTATAGTTTTTACTCATGAAATATTCTTCTTTTCTTGGCCAGGGTTTGCGTCATTCATCTTTTTTTCTCCCGTTTGCTGAGTACCTGATTTGCTTATTGAATTGTTATGCATATTGCAAAACTTTTTGACTAGTTAATCTGACGTTTTTATTAGCGGTATAGCGGACGCTCAAGGAAGGAACAGATTTTCCTCTTTACCGTCGTGTTCAACACTGCCTTTTATTTTCGTCTTTCGTCCTCGGTCCTCTACCAGCACTTTTCATGCGTCTGTAAAAACTCACATAAGATGAATTGCTTTGGCCAAATTTCTTTATATTACTTCCTGCAAGCAGAGCTGACCAAAACATTAGATTGGGTATCTTAACCTTAGCTTTTTTTGTACAAGTCGGCCTTAGCCAGATTTATGTGGCTATCACCTTAGCACACTTTTTACGCAATTAATCCCAGCTAGGTCTCTAAATGGCATAGTGATATATTAACTATTTAAGAGAAATAGTTGACTTTAGAAAATGTTCTAGTGAGCATTTGGCCAATTTAAGAAATTTTTTATCAGCCTCTTGGGGCCACCTCAATATGCTTAATGTTAGCCACAATTTAGTGCCATTCTGCCAAATACTAGGCCCTTTGTTACTCCTGTGCGCATTTGCACCCTAGATTATCTTATCATTATCATTCCATTTTTTTTAATTTGAAAGCGTATTTTTCAAATTATGTTTTCCCTAAACTTTCAGTCTCCAAGGTCTTCAAACCAGTCAATTCGGTCGTTGCAGTTCTGGACGGATTAAGAACACAGGGTCATAATATTGGACATGAAACTCGACCTGGTTCTCATGCCGCAGCAAGCCTGACCATAACTAATTCCACAGCTAGTGCAACTGCGACGGGCTCTGGCGTGACTACAGACGAAACTTCGATCTTTCAGCTCTTGGTCCGCCTCTGCCTACAACCTCCGGATCCGCTTGCGTTGGGAATTTTACTATCAATAAGGAGAACACGTCCGAGCTTCCTAGATCGACGTGCGTGCATCTTTGGTATGTTCGATTTTCTCTTAGTCCTTCGGCGTAAGCGACCCAAATCGGTTGCTCTATTACATTTGTAATCACTTCTTTGATCGCCCAAAGTGACTTTAAAAAGTTCTGATTTTTTATACCAACTGAGTATTCTTCAATATTACAAATGTCATCTTGATGCCTAATCAT